GGGGCTGGGCGCGGCGTGCACGGGGACCCTTTTCGCCATCCTCACTATTTCCCCCGCAACTCTAAAAACTAGTCTACAAACAGCCAGCGCAGCGCCTCATGCCTGTATTCCCACACTAAGAGCTGAGGCGGGAAGGATCACATCGAGGCCAGGAGTTTCCACAGCCAAGCCTGGGGCAACATAGCAAGGCCCTCTCTGTAGACAAAAATAACCTATTCTAACATAAAATATATCCTTAAACAATGAACAAAGCTAAATATCAGCAATTGATAAGTGGCATGAGAAGTCTCCATTTTTGAAATTTATTTCTTTATAATTAATTTATTTTCATTTTTTGTTTTGAGGGCAGTATGATCATCACACTGTTGCCGGGCTTAGAGTGAGTAGCGTGGCGTCAGCCTTCGCTCACAGCAACCTCAGACCCTGGGCTCGCGATCGATCCTCCTGCTCAGCCTCCCGAGTAGCTGGGACTACAGGACACGAGCCACACGCTCCGGCTTCATTTTTTTCTATGTGTTTTTAGTTGCAATTATTTCTTTTATTGTTCAGTAGAAGACGGGTCTCACTCTTGCCAGGCTGGTCTCGAACATCCTGAGCTCACAATCCTCCCGCCTCGCCTCCAGAGTGCTGGGATGACAGGCGCTGAGCCACGCGCCGGCTCCATTTGGAATTTTAAACGGGAAAGCTGCAAGCTTTCTGTTCGCAGGGCCAGGACTGTTTGTGGGTGCAAAATATAGGAGGGGGGACACCGATTCATTTATTTATCTTTCCTTCCATCTGGGAAGCTTCAATGCCAGAAGGAAAGTATCTCCTGGCTCCCGCAGGAAGGCGGGCTGTTCAAACAGGCCACCCCAATTTGGCCCCTTCTGACCCGGACTGGCCTTGTTGGCGTCCCGGCCGGTTCCAAGCTGACGCAACGTTGGTGAAAGGCCGGAACCAGGGCGCGGCTCAGGCCAGCCGGCCTGGGCAAGGGGGCCGTGGTCCTTCGCACCTGCGCGTCTGGGCCAGGGGCAGGGCTCCCTCCCTGAGACACACGCAGCTGTAAGCTCTGCCTGGGCCTTTTCAGCAAGATCCTCCCGCACCCTTTGTTAGCTGGCACGGAGTGGCTTTAGTGGGGGGCTTCTGGGCAGAGGGAGGTCGGGGCGAGGGCCTGGGGGTGCTTCTCCGGGCTGCCAGGCCCCTGAACAGGAGCACTTGGAGACGGCTGACGCCACAGAATTTGGGGAGCGGTCAGGCCGCGGCTGAAGAAGCCACAAGACAAGGGCACAGTCCCCTTCGCTCAGCAGCTGGGCACAAACCGTTGGGCAGATTCCCCGCAAGCCCTGGCTACCTGGGCCACCTGGGTGGGCGGTCGTTGGTGCAGTCTGAGCGCCACCCCCCCAGGTTCCAGGCCCCTCCTGAGCCTCCCCGCGCCCCCAGCCGGGTGCCCCCCAAGCCCAAAGGCTCAGCACGGCCCAGACAGAGCCAACTGTCTGTCCTCAAAACACGCGCCTCCCCCGGTGGCCACGTTTCAGTGTCATCTACCTGCCCACCTGGCCTGGAGTCAGTCACAGGCCTGCCAGGCGGGCTGCACATCCATTGAGCACCTACTGGATACCGGAGGAGCACTTTACTCACACCTCCTCACCGGTCCCTCCCGGAGAGGCCG